CCACTAAAACTTCTTAAATTAGGTATATTTAGCAGAGGCTTCTTTAACTACAACTTATACATTTATTAACTATCATAATTTGCCTGTTGGCATATGAGCGTCAAATTTGAGGCAATTTGCACGGGAAAATGTGAGTGGTGGGTGGTGATCCACATTACAATTTGCTTTCCTCCCTGCTTTATGACTTTTCAATTATATTTTTTTTTGTGTGTGCGGATATAAGCATACGCTGAGCACAGTATTTTCACGAATATTCGTGGTAGTGGCTGTTAGTTAGCATGTACTTTGGAAATAACTACTAAGGTAAGGAGATGTTGGTGGTTTGGATTGTTTCGTCCCCTCCACTACCGGCATGCCGCTGGTGGTGATCGAGCTGTGTTGCCCCCAGTGGCCTAACAGGATATTCTAGCCTCGATGAGAATTATCGACTAGGCTCACCCGCGTGGTTGGAATTGAATCGTTTATTTATACTCCATTGTGCGATATGTGGATCACCTGGACTCAAAAACTCCTCGGCAAAATGGAGTGGATTCATCTGATTATATACGGTTCATAAATAAATAGGTGAAGGAAAGAATCACATTAAAACGTTTCCAGCAATTGATGACAACTGCTAGTAGCCAAAACAACAAGATTTTCCCCATAGCGCTTACTGCCTTGCCTTGCCTCGCCTGGCCTTGCCTCACACAGCAGTCCACCGCAAGTGCACTTCATTAGCATGACGTATCTGCAAGGACAACTTGGACACAGAATCCAGTGTCACCCGCAGCAATCGCTGTCTCAACGCTTCTGGCTCCTCGATCCCAGCCGTAGGCAGAGGATCACACCGTGCAGACCGGAAAAGCGTCGTCAACGTCGCAACAAATTCTACCTGCGACATCTTTATGCCGGGGCAGATGCGTGGGCCGCTTGACCACGGGATATAGGCCCCTTTTGGCGGGGTTATCAGTTGTCCTGACTCGTCGATCCATCGCGATGGCCTGAATTCGCTTGCGTCTGCACCCCAAATCGTCGGATCCAGGTGCATACTCAATTGGCAGATCAGTATGTCCATAGGGGGTGTTAACAGTCGAGTTCTGTTGCCGTCCACTATTTGCTGTGGCTTAAAGACTGAGCGGTTAGAATGAAGGACTGGTGGGAAGAAACGCAGGATTTCAAACTGGGGATATGTTAGTATACTTAGTGCCACGGGGATGGGGAAGATGTCAAAGAGGTACCATTAGAGCGAGTGTGCGTCGGCATTTAGGAAACACCTCCTCATATTTCCATTTCGACGGGTCCGGGTCAAGCGTCCGCAGCTCTTCGCGGATCCAATCCTGCAATTCGGGATACACGGCCAGATGAGCCACTGCGTAGCCCATGGTATTGCTAGTTGTATTCGAACCCGGCTGTGCTGAAGACAAAGAGGTTCCACTGATCTCATCGTCTG